CTCCAGGCGCCTGGGAGCCAACAATATTCTCCTACTTACCGCTCCCCCCGCCCCTTGTCTCACTCATCACTGATTACGACGTCTTAACATAAATGCTTTTCTTCCATGGGGTTTGATGTTGTGTGTTTTTACGAACTGGACGTGCCGCCACACCCCAAATATTGGCATGTGTTATGGGTGTGCATCTTAAATGAGGCCTGCCAGACACCGATCTAGTTTCCGGTGTTTATGCAGCGCATCCATTGCGTGGTTTGTTTCAGGGGCAAATGTCGCGGAGATAACGCTGCACGACGGTGCCGTGTGAGCGATAGCGCATCATCCCCCCAGGCCATGAGAACATGTGCGCAAACTATGCACGGCAGAAATGCCAGCGAGCTGCCCGCCCCTCCCCCAGTCCACTGGCTGACAAGGTATGTCTGTCCACCCTCCCTCCTTTATGTTTACTGCGATAGGCTTTGATGCACCGGGCTGCGGTTTCGGCACTTCCCCCGCCTGCGACTGCAGTGATCCGGAGGTCCTGCAGCAAGATGCCCGAGTTGGCGTGAATTTGATGCATCAACAGGGTCATCGGAGCTTATTCTGCGTCGGTTGGTGAGAGGGCGACCAGTCAGCCGTCCGGGCAGCATCGGATTTATGGGTGCTGACATCAACCTCCTGTCAACCGACCTCTCGTCTTACGTCTCGATTTAATGATATGTACCCCCTTAAGGTCGATAAGTACTAAAACAAAAAGCGCGATAAATGCACCGAGACAGTGCACCAATTTTTATTTAATATTTGAATGTGTTGTCACATTTGGTTTTATTGCTCCCCAGTTCTCCCACACCGTAAACAGGTCCGTCAAGTTATCTCAGCTACTGTACCCAGTCCCCTCATTGCCAGACCGCCCGACTCGAGCAAGCCACGGAGGGTGATGTCTGTCAAAGTCGGCCCCGTCTCATAATGTTTTCACTTTACACGGAACAATGAGCTCTGCATTGATTAGTAGGACTGGCAAACAGTTGTTGTGATACAATGAGCTAGTCTGTGAACTGGGTCCTCTAGGAGGAATCACGAGGCGAATCACGAGGGGCGACCTGCACCGGCTGCGCGCAGACTGGATGCAGCACTGGTGACTTTCATGGGGATCCGTTTATTGTGAGGCAGCTCTGCGCAACATCTACCCCACTCCCGCCCTCCCTCTCTCCCACCCACACTCACCGGACTCCGATGGAAAGACAATGTCCAGATGACTGGAGGTGGGATCGGGCGCGGTGGTGGACAAAGCTACAAACTGTCTGTCTATGCATTCCCTCACGCGACCTGGTGAAGCATCGGGCGGTGATGGTGTTGGCGGTGGATTTGAGATAGGAGGAGGAAGAGGATGAGGGGGGCTGACAGTATTCATCCGTAGCATTTGAGTGTTGCCGGCCACCCTCATTGTTTTGCTACATTGCTAATCCAGTCTTTACGCTAATGCGTCACTCCTGTCCACCTTCAGCGACATCCTTCGATGTCTCTGGGTTGATTTTTTGGTAAAGCACCCTAACGAACAGACTTGCGTGTGCACAGTCTCAGATGAGACCGCACCTTTGTCGGTGGGCGGATAGCGCCCTGACCACTACCGAATTTCTGCACAGAAGATCCGGCCTCTACTGCTGTCTTCCCCAATCTCACGTCATGCACTTGGTCATCTCACAACCCATATCGTTTGATAGGCAGCAACTTACGGAATAGGTCAGCCTTCACCGTATACATGTGCGTGAAGAATTCAGTAATGGCGATGTGAGCGTAACATCGCAGTGCAGACAACGTCAACTTTGATGACGTGGATGCGGATATCATCGGTGAGGTATGGGGAAAATTTGTGTGGACACACATGGAAAATGCGGTACAGGCTTGGCGTCCGTCACTTCGGGAGGGCATAGCTCATCTTGAAGGTGGTGTGCAAGGACCTGCTAGATAGCTTGTCCATGAACTCAAATATTTGACGTACGAATAGCGCCTGACAGCCTTAAACGTTTATGGTCTCCACTATCGACAAGACGTCGGTGAGCTTTTACTCACGTTCCAGTTGTTACGGCGACTTGATCTTGATGTGGACTGACAAAATCTATTCGAAATGGCACCAAAGACGAATCTTCGACGTCATGATTGCCAACACGACAGGGAAATACGCCGAAAAAATCAACGCCATATGTCCTGACAGACTTGATTTCACAACGCATCCACTGTTATCCCCATGTATATATAGTTCTTCGTTTTATGTGACATTCCATCCCCACAGTTTATGGGGTTTAGCTTCCAACTAATTGTGGATTATCATCTACCACTCCTCTAGTTCCTGCCGAATTTCAACTGGTGGTGTTTGTGCGTGTGTGTGTGACACTGAGATCGGGTTGGATAAGTGAGCGCGATGCTCGTCATTCTCAGCCCCAACTCTCTGTTTCCCACTTTAAACGGAATTCAAACTGGTCCTGTGTGGCTCACGTGGATGGGCTGTGCATATTTCTGGGCCAGTGCGTCAACGCTCACTTCCGACCTCCCGCCTGCCCATCACACCTCGCCCCTTTCGGGTAACCCGTGACCTAGCCATAGTTCAGTTCTCACAGCTACCACCAATGCCTCCTTCATTCCCATGTGCGTACCTCTTCCTACAACTACTTCAGTATGTCATTAACTGACAAAGGTCCTTATCCAAAGTTTTAATTCATCACATAGCCAAGATCATACCCAATTATTATTAGCTGGTATCTCCACCGACGTACACCTAAGTCCAAAGTCAGAGTTGCATTTAAATGACAAAGTAGTATTTCATTATTCAAGAACAAACATGCACGAGGTCTGGGAGCACTGCCCTATGAAACCAGACTGTCAACTCTCAACCTGTTTCCCTTATATTAACATTTCGCATTATCAACGGCCTAGAATGTTGTTTAGATCCCACTGATTATTTTACTCAAGCTAACACGCCCATTTTGCGCGGTCATCCCCTAAAACTACGCGCAGGGAAAGAAAGGATCAATGGACGAAGGTTATATTTCAGTAACAGAGTATTTGCAGCGTGGAATGCCCTGCCTACCGATGTCGTATTTGCCTCCTGTGTGAATTCTTTGAAGTGTAGACTTGACGCTTATCATGCTTCCCAATCACCAGCCTCACATCCACTCACGTAACCCAACACAAACGTGTGCGTTTGTGCTACTTGCAATTAGAAAGTAACCGTTAATGATTACTATTTTTCGGCTAGCTGGCAGCTGTCCGGCGTTATGTACAAAATTCCTTTTTCACCTTCACACATATCAATGGTTTTTCCCTTAATATACAGAAACACCCCAATGACGATCAGAAGAGGTCTGAAGGTGGGTTGCTGTG